GAGTGTAATATCTTTGTTTTTTTTTTAAATTATTTTTCTGTTTTTAATTTTCGTCTGCTTATAGACTATTCATTTCTGGTTTTATATTTTTCTTCTTTTCTTTGTTTCCTGCTGGCAGTAAAGGTGACCAAGCACATGTCGAATAGGCCATGCATTCATGTGATAGCCAAATGTTCCGTTTCGTTGAAGTTTACTAGATCGATTCCACGTTTCCAGTCTTAAAAATTATTATTTTTTTCGAGGAAACAATAAGGTAAAATATAAAAAATAGCGTGTACTTTTATATATTTTTAGCCTTAAACTTTACATTAAAAAAAATTCTGAGTGTTATTAAATGAATACACTCGAGTTTTATTTGAATTTGTGTGTATGTGTGTTTGCTTTTGTTTGTTTATCCTATTTTACAGAACGAGATTCGATTGTCGCCTGCGTAAAGTATACGTTCAGAGTGTTACTATTTGCAAGACAATATCTCTTAGAAATGTTTTACTTTCATTCTCGATAAAAATATAAAATTAGCTTCTACGACGAAACGTTTAACGATTTTCTTAATGTAAAAGTTGTGCCTTTCATAGAACCTGTTTGCTTTATTACACTTATTAAAGCGCTTATATCGAAATAATGTTATTAAATTCCATGCCATTTTAATATAAAACATTTTTCGATTCGTTTGCTTATTCAGAATTTAATAATTCGTAATTTTTCTGTATGAAATGAATCATTATTTACTCCCAAAAATAGCCTTGAGCTCTATACACAAACTCTGACTCATACCTTTAATGCAGGTTTAACGTTTGTAAAGGTCTAAATTCTAAAATCTGACCTCGAAAATTCTAAATAATCTCGTTATATTCCGGTTAATAACTTTAGAATTTTTTTTAAAAATGTATAAATTCTTAATGTACAATACATTCTGATTTATTACCTAAATTTTATCGTAACTGTTATGTATGATAGGGTAATATCCTGTCGTGCATTCTATTATACCTATATTTAATAGTAACCTATATACAGGCCTGGCTCAAACGTCAGTTTTTTGGGCCTCGGGTCGTGGCGTCGCGCTTTTTAATTTCTAAGAAAAAATAAATTCTTTTTCGCAAATTAGTTTGGGACTTGCTAATAGATTTTTCCCGAGACCCATAAAACTCCATCCTCTACATTTCTACGTAAAATTATGAATGTTTCGAGTTTGTCACATACAAAACTGTGCCCAAATATCCAAAACATTATACATGTTGAAGTATTATTTGGGTGTAGTTAATAGGAGTACAGTATATGTGATATAGGAGTACAGTATATGTAACTCCTATTAACTAATTTAATTAACTAGTTATGTTCTATGACTAAAAACAACATGGCGTTTAACGTTAAAATAATATTATCTAATTGATTTAGTTTATACAGGTAATTAATCGGTGAAAGTTTGTTCTTTGTAATCTATAATACCAATGAGGGTTTTGTTTTCACGTTCGAGTGGCGATACTTTCCGAAGTCCATTATTGTGGGAGGAACTGTTATAAATGATCCAATATGCGCGATTAACACCGCTTTTATTCTATTAAACTTCACCATTTACATCAAAATCCTTAATTCGTATTCTCGTAAATGTTTTCTACTTCCCCTATTTAATTTCTATCGGCAATTGTAACCGTGAGTCTACATTTTTAGCCATCGAAGAGAACGGCAAAAAGAGAACGGAAGAGTGAACACACCCTTAATGGTCCTATCGGTCACGTGATAGTTCGTTAACCGGGGTCACGTCACATGACCATACGCGAATTTATAACTTTTTATGGAATAATTGGGTTACCAATTTTGTTTCCGCGGTCTATTTAATTCGGATTGGTTTAATACATTAGGAGTCGACGCTCCCCGAAAATAATTTACTAATTTTACAATTTGAATTTAATTAGTATTAAATTAATTAAAAGTAAAAAAATATACGTATCTTAAATTATCAATTCTTATTTCGGATTTGTTTTTCAGCTGGCAACACGATTCACGTCGCCATCTTGCGACGGAAATATCATTGGAAACATGGTGCTTGTGTTAATGCCAAGGTAGAGATAATTCAGTTAAAATTTATTAGTTTATAAACTGATGAGAAAAATATAAATAAAATACACTTTTTGGGGCTCAATTGCAGTTCTGAATAAGGTAGTTAAGACCTTATAAGAGTTGTAGATGATGCCAATAGGAGTAAAACAAAGGAACCGATGGTACACGTGACTCGCGTAGTTATACACGTAGGAGGTCAAAACTCCTCATTCAGAACTGCAATTTTACTGATTTATAAACAAACATTTTTCTTTAGTCAACAATTGAATAAAATCATAAAAATTATTCTAAAAACTCAGAACATTATTATTTTTTAGGTCACTTCAATATCTCATCATAACTCTTCAATTTTCTTGAAGTGTCTTCATCTTTCACATTAAATTGCAATTATGTCATCAAAATCAAAGACGAAATCTGTAGAGATTGATCCAGATCTTGGGAAGAAGTTATTCGAAGAGGGAGCGACATTTATCTTTCTAGATGTACCACCTGGAACCGAATTCGGTATAGACATGAGTGTTTTCTATGTTGCGGATAAGTTCAGAGGAGTTAAAATGATACCACCGGGTTTGCATTTCATCTACTACAGCGGAGTGAGTAAATATGGACAGTCTGCACCTCGCACTGGCTTCTTTCATGTGTTTTCCCCAAAAGAAGTATTGGTTAGGAAGTGGAATAAGTTTGATGAAAGTAGGTTTTATTTTAGTAATGGTCAACCTGTGATTTTTCATGCAATTTTATGTTTTGTGTATTTTTAATAGCCATGAGCAAAGAGATTGTAAATAGCGAAGAAACGGAAAGATTTCGTTCAAATTTGAAAGATATGGATCGGTTTCTTGGTGCGTATCCTTACAAGATGTGGAGAAATTGGGTTGCTCTAACTAGTTACATTACAGGTAATTTTAACTGTTTGTTCTTTACACTGTTTTTATTCAGATATAGAATTCAATATAAGTCACAAAGATGGAAAAATGAGAGCTGTTGGATCTTAACCATTGTTTTGGAAACCACCCAACAGTCAATAATTAGAATCTAAATGTTCTGCAAAATGAAATAACTAATCTGACAGTTGCCAAATGAGTTTGAATTACAGTAATATGTTGATTATAGTGTTGAAAAATTGATTACATAGAGTACTAATTCCAGAAATTATGAAGTTTTTACACAATGATTGCCAGCAATCTTCTGTAGGCCTGGGTGTCAGGTTATTTTGTTATCAGCACTAGTTAGGTTTTATTTTTATGGTACAAATAGAAAAGCATGGGTTTTTAATGCATCAATTGCTTCATTTTGCTTACACACTGAAGCATTTGATGCATTAGAAATGACATCGAAATAGTTAGAAATGCAACCTTAAGCAGATTTGTCAACTCTTGATGACAAAGCAAGCCAGGGAATTATAAATAAATAAAACAAAATAAGTGACTACTTTTGAAAAACGAACTGTAATAAATAATTTTTATGAGTACTGTACTTTGAATTCAAAGTTATTAAATAGTAAAAAGTAGTAGTAAAATATCATCAGTACATTGTAGGTTACAAAGAAAGACTAGTTCTTGTTTTTAATAGATTTTTCATTATGCTTTAAATTTAACTTTTTTTTTTTTAACTATTGTACTAGAATTCAAATTAATATTTTTACTTTAATCCTTTAATCTTTCTCTACCAAGTACAGTCAGTTATCTGAAATTGTCCTGCCCCAGTTATTTCAGATAATCAAAGATATGCTCTGCCATATTTATTTTATTTTTTAGATTAAATTTACTCAATAGATAGAATATTTGAACTATTCCACAATACTAGATTATCATGTGATAATTAGAGTTGCCATTTTTTCCATCTTTGTTAAAAGCTTCCAATTTTTTTCAATTTAGACTTTTTAAAAATTTACATTTATTACCCAGTTATATAGATAAGAGTTTTTAATAATTTACATATGTTAATTATACCAATCTTTATAAACAAATATTATTTTTGTAGAACCTGTTCTGAAAAGCATGGAGCCGGAATCTGGGATAGTATGCTCTGTATCACAGTTTGTTCCCGAAACATTTTTAATGTCCAAAAATAATCCAGAAATGGAAACTGATCAAATGGCAGCATCTACTTCAAAGACAGAAGATAATCTTCCAGAATTAAAACTGGTTCCTGGCACAATGCTTAGATTTACTAAAATTCCTTTAAGAAAGTAAGTATACTTTGGAATAAATTCGTAAAGTTACAGTGTAATTTAGTGTCATATTTATTTATAGACATCCAGAAGGAGCGTCTCCTACTGAAATTACTAAACATAATATGGACTCTACATATTTACTAGAGCAAGTTCTTTTGATGTATGAGAAACCTGAAGATATTTTAGCAGAACTGCAACTGTCATTTGTTTGTTTTTTGGTCGGACACGTGTATGAAGCCTTTGAACAATGGCAAAAGTTAATTAGAATATTATGTAATAGTGACACTGCTTTGAAACTGTATGGAGAACTGTATCTCAGTTTTATTGTTGTTGTTCATTTTCAACTGAAAGAAATACCCAAGGACTTCTTTGTTGATATAGTATCAAGTAGTAATTTCCTCACCACCACTTTTCAAATCTTTTTCTCGAATTTAGAAAACAGTACTGCCGACGAAGCCTTACGTTCCCGTGGTAGGAAATTCAAAGAGAGCCTGACAAAGATTTTTAAGTGGGATTTTGAGAGTGAGCCAGATGACTGTGCACCAGTTATAGTAGAAACTAGTCAATGAATGTTTTGTCATGATTCATTTTTGTGTATATTGATATCATAATGATGTATTATTGTAAAATTTTTACTTTTAATCAACGAAAAACATTGAATTCATATCTTAGTGTAAAATTCAACATACAAAATTGCTAGGTAAACCTATTGCCATGATTACAGTTTCATAAATAAATATTCCAGTTAAAATTATTTGAACATTTTTGTTGGCCTTTATATATAACAATTCAGATTTTTTTCTTTCATTGATCTGTCTCCTCCATTTCGACTTCTATGGATATGGACATACTAGTTTCACTGGGACCTTCCCCGTGTCCACTCTCATCTCGAACAGAATGACTTAGAAGAGAAAATTCGTACGAAGGAAGTTCTTCGGGCACATCTAAGCAAGATAAACATAAAAACAATTTAAACGAATATTCAATTAACCAAGTTTTCATATAGCTACTTACCTTCGCACGGAGTAATTACATTCATAAGATTCTCTATTACATAAGTTAACATGCTAGTTGAGAAAGTATCATCTTTTTGTAATCCCAAAGCCTGAAAGTGAATTTAAAAAGTTTTAAATAAGATTGCAAAAAGTCTAAAAATAGAAACACATTAAAAACCTTATGAAAATATTCTACAGCAAGGGCCCAGTTTTTCATTAAGCTATGAACGTAACCAATTGCTGATAACGAAGATGGATTTTGAGGTGCTAGAACTAGAGCCTGTTGATGAAACTCTAATGCTTCTTCATATTTCCTGAAAATAATTTGAATAAAAAAGTTTGCATTATAGATAGAAGTTTGATTTTTAATATCTTAATTTGAAAAAACAGTTATATACTTGATTTTTCGACAAGTATGACCTAAATTATTCAATAGTGGTTCCCATTTCTCTGGAAGAACTGTTTGTCCACTAGTCTGTACTTTTTCAAGTGCTTCTCTAAAATATTTTTCTGCATTGGTATAACTGAAAAAATTGCAAATGCACACATTTTTTTAAAGACAAATAAAACTGAGCACATTATATTCTTTTAAGTAATTTATAGTATTTGAAATCCTTAAAAAATACAGATCATCTTATGATTAGAAAAACTTTTATGTATTACATCCATCCAAAACATCATATTAGCCGAGTTTCCAGATTATCTGAATCAAATGAGTGTCTTTATTTCAGATAATTCGGATTCTACTGGCTCTATTTTTGCTTTACTAAAAGTATCTATACCTCAATGATGCTGTTTAGAATATTAAAATGAAGTACTGTATCTTTACTGTTTAAAAGTAGTTTGAGTTTCATCAAATATAATTTGGAAAAAAGGCAATCAATAAGATTTTATTTAATCCTAAGGATTTAGAACACTTGCAAAATTTTTCAAAAGAACAATTAATATGATAATGCTCTGATAAACTCAAAATATTGACAGTTAAGACAAGAAAGAACATTTTTTTTTTTTGTATAGTATTGTATAACAAAAAAACAACTAGTACACTTGAAGTCATAGATTATTCTGCACTCCTTCAGCCCAGAACTGATATCTAGTTCTAAAATTAACACAATGCTGAAAAGTCAACTCTGGATGCAAACCATGTTTTCTATTATTCAGTGAGACATCAGCGCAGTGATAAAACTTGTTCCATATTTTAGCTCGCTCGCAGGCATCTCAAAACACAAAATTTCATTAGTGAGGCTGAGGAGCACTAGCATTTTGCTAAGACAACGAGCAAAGTATGATGGCACCATGTTTGAAGGTTTTAATTGAACTAGGAGATCAAAATTTTCTTTTAAATATGGATGAAAGAACTTACAACAGTTTTTGAACAGGAAAAAATAAACATATTTTTAACTTTTATCTATGTGAGAGTTTGACAGGCATAACTGTCCTTTCATCTTCATATGTCAGATATGTAGACTGAATTTCTTAGTTACCTCATTTGTATCTTGATTTTAGATATCAAGTAATATAATAATTAGCATTATATAACCCACATGTCGAAACTTTCAGCAAAACCATTATATATATTTTATTTTTTATTGCCTATATTTTATAATGCAATCTATGGCATGTTTGTACTCACAGCACATTGTTTTGTGTACCTTCATAATTTATCACTATTGCTTGGTAAAGATCTTGTGAATGAAAGTAATTATTTGCCAAGTATAATTTTGTTTTAATACTAGTAAATGATTCATATT